TGTCTGACCTGAGAACTGCCCAGCAGCCAAAAGAAAAGAGTGAGAGAACGGCTTTTAAAAACACTTCCAGCAAAGGAGACACAAAAGTGAGAGAAAATCAAGCAGAAAAGCCTAGAAAATTACAAACGCCTGAACCCAGGACATCGAGATCTTGCATATGCATTTGCTCCGTGAATAAATAAAGCCAATAAACGAATGTTTGCATGAAAACGGCCATGCGAAGTTAAGAATCGGCTCTTTTTCTGATTTGATTTTTGAGTTAAAGTTTTGATCTGAATCGAACTGGCCAAAGCTCGCAGAACACTGAATTGTAATTTATAACTTATTGTAAGTTTTTACTACTCAAAAGTGTCGTCATCATGCATTACAACGTCAGCATACACTTAAATAAATGACTTAAAAATCACTTAACTTATTTAATATGAGTCAAATAAGTTGTTTTAAGTTTAAAGTAGCTTAAAGCTTAAAAGTTTTGTTAAGCTTAAAGTAGCTTAAAGTTTAGAAGTACATTTAAGTTTTAAGTAGCTTAAAATTTGAAAGTTTTTTGCCAAAGTTTTACAAGATTTAAACGATTTTTAAAAAATGTTCTGAGTTGCTAAGGTAATGCTATGTGGTTGCTTGGCGGTTGCTAAAACATTGGGTGTTCCGAATGGTTGATAGGTGGTTGATAAGGTTTTGCTACATGGTTGCTAGGGTGTTCTGAGTAGTTGCTAGGTGGTTGCCAAGATATTGCTAGGTGGTTGCTAGGTGGTTGCTAGGTGGTTACCAAGGTGTTGCTAGGGTGTTTTAGTGGTTGCCAGGGTGTTCTGAGTGGTTTCTAGGTGGTTGCTAATGTGTTGCTAGGGTGTTCTGACTGGTTGCCAAGGTGTTGCTAGGTGATTGCTAGTGTTTTAATTGGTTTTTAGGTGATTGCTAATGTGTTGCTAGGGTGTTCTGAGTGATTGCTAGGCGGTTGCCAAGGTATTGCTAGGTTGTTCTTAGTGGTTGCTAGATGGTTGCTAGGGTGGTTGCAAAGGTGTTGCTAGGGTATTCTGAGTGGTTGCTAGTTGGTTGCTAATGTGTCCCTAGGGTGTTCTGGGTAATTACTAGGCAGTTCCCAAGGTGTTGCTAGGTTGTTCTTAGTGGTTGCTAGGGTGGTTGTGAAAATGTTACTAGGTGGTTGCTAGGGTGTTCTGAGTGGTTGCTAGGTGGTTGCTAGTGTGTTGCTAGGGCGTTCTGACTGGTTGCTAGGCAGTTGCCAAGGTGTTGCTAGAGTGTTTTAATTGGTTTCTAGGTGATTGCTAATGTGTTGCTAGGGTGTTCTGAGTGGTTGCTAGGTGGTTGCAAAGGTTTTGCTAGGTGGTTGCAAGGGTGTTTTAATTGGTTGCCAAGGCATTGCTAAGTGGTTGCTAGGGTGTTCTAAATGGTTGCTAGGGTGATCTGAGTGGTTGTTAGGCGGTAGCTAGGGCATTCTGAGCCTCAGTATGACTTCAGTGTTTTCTAAATAGAATGACTGCATAAACGCTGCCCAACAAGATCCTAAAAGTCGAAGTTCGGCTCGTTTCAGCCAGCGATTCAGTAAAACTCAGTGTCATTAATGAAATGCGTAAGCGATGAAGCGTTTTTAATCCATGAGATTAGCATTTCCCTTTTGAATGATTTCACTTCAGTATAGTCCTGAACATGAACATCAGGAAATATAAATGACGGCTGCAAAGCAAAAACAATATTAAAATGAATCTCAGCTCAGGCCTGGAGAATGCAGAAACATCTCGAGTGGTAATTACACATCAGCACAAAACTCTGATATCATCACTATTAGACGGAGGAAGAAAAAAAAAACTAATTAGCAAAAAAGAAGTGGAGAAAATCAGACATTTATGAACTCGGTTTCATGCAGAGCACGGGATGAATTTAAAGTTCAGAACGTCTGAAATAAACATAAGATAGCAGCGCTGTGAAAAACAACTGCGTTCAGATATGAAATATGGAGCCTGTGCTTTCATAATGTGGAACGAGCATCAAAATAAAGCACACGGCGTCTCAGCCAAGGTCATCTGCATGTGTTTAATCCAGACAGGTAGAGCGTCTGGAGAACCAGCAGACAGAAAACTGTCAGACGAGCTGGAAAGCAGCAACTCTGGGAGAAAAGCCAGCCTTAAATCTTTGTGAATTTACAGCGTGCGTGAACTCGGTCCAGGCATGTTTACAATGGGCTGGTGTGAGCGAATGCAGAAGTAAAACGCTCTTCCTCTGCGCCCTGAATGATGCAATTAGACTCAGATGCACTGCAGAGTGTTTCCTTTGTGTGTGTTTTCTGACTCCATGCATTCACGCTGCTGTCAGCTCTGAAACACAGACTTCATGCTCAGTCTCTTTCATTATATGGCGTCCACTAAACTGAACAGAGCACCTGGTTTATACACTGCATGTATACATAGTTGAAGCATGATGGTTGACATGTTAGCTGACCTGGTCTTAGCTGGTCAGGCTGGGAGATGACCAGCTAAAACCAGCTTGACCAGCCTAGCCAAGCTGGGAGTCCAGCCAAAACCAGCTATGTCCAGCTTAAACCAGACTGGTCAAGCTGGTTTTAGCTGGATTTGGCTGGTCATTTTTCAGCCTAACCAGCTAAGACCAGGCTGGAAATGGCTGGAAACCAGTCTGGAAGTGGCCAAAACCCCTCTAAAACCAGCCTGGTCGACCAGCTAAAACCAGCCAACCAGCCTAGGCTGGTTTAAGCTGGATTTCTCAGCAGGGGACAAAGAGAAATTAGTTATTACTATTATCTATGGACGCCCTGGTGATGATTGGGATGCAGCTCAACAGATGATTCAGCAGAGGAATCCACCTTCTGACACTTCTCCAAATGACCAAGTTATTATTTGTTGTTCTTACAACTGGGATCCACCACAAGACTTTTGTCAGGCAGTGTGTATATATACATCTACAAAACATGTATTACATACAGTATTAGCAGGTCAGAGGAATCCAGATCAGCATGTAGTTGTGTTTCAAAGCTGAAGTGGCAGTGAATGAACGTGATTTATTTGGGTAACGCAACATTCACTGTGATCCAGCCTGTTCAGATTAATAAAACAAAGAGACCTGAGGTTGGATAATTTAGCGCAGGAAGCCTTCACTCGCCGTCTGCTTCATCAAATATCTCTGCCATTGTTTTCTTCTGCTGTGTGCAGATCTGAAGCCATCAAGGCTGCGTGTGAAGCTCATCGTTTTGACAGAAAACATCAAATCATAACCTTCGCTTTCTGTAAAAAACAGGCCTGCTGAGAACAGACTCAAACATCAGGCTTTTAAAGATCTCTCTCTCTCTTTGTGCGCTGAACAAAGCTAAATCCATGTAAACTACAGAACGAGTGAAACTCTGAATTCACACTGCAAAATAGTCAATGACAACAAGCGTTTTTATGTTTACGTAAACTTATTTTAAAGAGCACATCATTTTAATTTACTACTTTAAGTCATTTTGACTGAGTTAAGTTCAAATGACAAGATTTTATTTGGTTCAACGAAATAATGTTGTACAGCAGTAAGGATTTTACAGTGCACGCATGACTTTTAAAAGAAAGGCTATCAGTGTAAACCCCTCATAATGCGATGGGATTTGAAGATTTTTACATTTTGATTGCATTAAGAGTTTTACGATGTTATTTTAGGGCCGATCACACCAAATGTGTTCTGAAAATGTGCAACGCAACGCACTGCCTTTTTATTGGTAAAGAGCAGTGCACTGTGCTTTTTACTAGGCAACCACTGTTTCAATAAACAGTCTAGAAGGGATACAGCTGCAGATACTGAAATCATAAAGCATCATTGTGGTGCATCATATCCGCTAAACGGATTTCCCATAGACTCCTATTTCCAGGGTTTATTCGAGGTGTACTTGTATGCAGCAAAATCAGTCTAAAAATAATACATATAAAATAAAATTCATACATTCACAATGCAATTTGCATTAAATTAATGCTAAATTAATTGGATTTGTGTATTTTTGAATCGTTTTTCGAACTTACAAATTAAATTTATGTATTTTCGAATCGTGTTTTGAATTGATTAATTGGATTTGTGTATTTTCAAATCATGTTTGGATTTACGAATTGGATTTGTGTATTTATGAATTGTGTTTCAAACTTACGAATTGGATTTGTGTATTTTCCAATTGTGTTTTGAGTTTACGAATTGGATTTGTATATTTTCGAATCGTATTTTGAATCAACGAATTGGGATTTGTGTATATTCAAATCATATTTTGAATTGACAAATTGGATTTGTGTACTAATGAATAGTGTTTTGAACTTACGAATTGGATGTGTATTTTCGAATCGTGGTTTGAATTTACGAATTGGAGTTGTGTATTTTTGAATCGTGTTTTGAGCTTGCGAATTGGATTTGAGTATTTTCGAATCGTGTTTTGAATTTGCAAATTGGATTTGTGTATTTTCGAATTGTGATTTGAATTTACGAATTGGATTTGTGTATTTTCGAATTGTGTTTTGAGCTTACGAATTGGATTTGACTATTTTCGAATCGTGTTTTGAATTTGCGAATTGGATTTGTGTATTTATAAATTGTTTTGAATTTACAAATTGGATTTGTGTATTTTCAAATCGTGTTTTGAACTTACGAATTGGATTTCCGTATTTATGAATCACATTTCAAATTGACGAATTAGATGTGTGTATTTACGAATTGGGATTTGTTTATTTATGAATTGTTTCGAACTAACGAATTGGATTTATGTATATTCGAATCGTATTTGGAATTGACGAATTTGTTTGTGTATTCAAGAATCATATTTCAAATTTACGAATTGAATTTGTGTATTTATTAATCGTGTTTTGAACTTACAAATTGGATTTTATAAATGTGGATGTATGAATTATATTTTGTAAATGTATTTTTTTTTAGACTGATCTGGCTCCATACTAACTCTGTTTAAAGGGAAAAGCGAATTCATGCGTAAGAATATCAGATAGTATTGGGATTGGGCCGTGGAGCACCTGGAGAGTGGAAAGCAGGAGGAGAAGGAGTGCTGCACACGATGGTTTCAGCCAGAAGGTTGTTATAGCGGTTGTTAGTGTCGTGAGGCCGGAGGAGAGGGTTAGTTAGCAGATAGTTGCCCGTCATTCCTGTGGAGCACATAAAAAGAGGAGGAAAAGAAGAGCAAAAGACTGAGCTTCAGGAAAACACTAAACTTGACTAAAACCTCTATGTTAAGCTGCTATAGAAATAAAGAAAGAGGAAAACAGGAAACAGGGTGGCAGACTGACTGATAATAGTTTTACCATGTTTAATTCCATTCAGCCGATCTCCAGGTCTGACTGTAGCACATTTAGCTTAGCTTAGCATAGATCATTGAATCGGATTAGACCATTAGCATCTCATAAAACTGTATCAGTGCCATAGTCAGTAATAAAGCAGAGTAAAGCCCATAAAAATATCTATAAGTGTGTGTGTGTGTGTTTGTGTGTGTGTGTCAGTTTTGATGCGTCACCTTGGTTGAGAGTGGAAGTGCTGTTGATGTCGCCAGAGATGAAGGAAGACTCGGACTGTTTCCTCACAGTGTCATTCCACATCCTTCTAATACGGCTCTGTAGACACACACACACACACACACACACACACACACACACACACACACACACACACACACACACACACACACACACACACACACACACACACACACATACACACACACACACACTGATTAACACTGATCATGTTCATGAAGCAGCTTTGTAGTGTCGGTGTTGGAGGCTCTATTAGCGGCGCGTGTGGAATAAAGACTGATGCTAAATGTCTGGTAAACAACTTTAATTATCTGCTGCTGCTTAAGATTCCGCACAATAATTACAATCACAACTCAAGAGCAGCCAAAACAACGCTCTTGTGCAAATCTCTCCCAGTACAGACGCTTCCGGAAACATTTAGGGTTCAGATGAGAGAATTTCAATGCAGGTCAAGCTCCAGCTCTCTTATTTATCAGGGATCGCCACAGCGGAGTGAACCGCCAACTATTCCAGCATATGTTTCACGCAGCGGATGCCCTTCCAGCCGCAACCCAGCACTGGGAAACACCCATACACACTCATTCACACACACACTAACACACTACAGCCAATTAAGATCATCAATTCCCCTACAGCGCATGTGTTTGGACTAATGTGGGAACACCCCGGAGGAAACCCACGCCAACACGAGGAGAACATGCCAACTCCACACAGAAATGCCTAGGTTATAGTAGCTGATTTGTTTATTTGTTTGTCTGGACTAGTCAGATGTATAGGGTTGCAGATGTACCTGCGTGGCAGATGAATATCGAGCGGTGGATCTGGAGGCGGAGGATTTGTTGACGCTGTGAGGTCCTTCAGATGGATGAGTTCTGCAGCACTGAGACTGACGGAAACACTTGCTGTACTCTTTACGCACCTGCAAACACACACAAAAGCAGATATTTACCACACAGGAAAAGAAAAGAGACATACATATTTAATATTAAAATTCCAGGACGCTTTTACCATGACGCTTGCAAATCTTTCATATATATATATATATATATATATATATATATTTCTAGATTGTGTTATCTATGTGTTATCTATGTAGTTGTATATTGTGAAAATGTTTGAAATGTTGGGCTTGGATTTTCACAAGACTAAGAATAGTACAAATGAGCCTCAAGCACCCACAGTATCTTGCCTCTGTAGATAGAGATTGTTTCTGGACATGACATGATATGTTTCTTGAAATACAGTAAAAGCGAGGCCAAGCTGAATCTGCATGTTTTCTTTGTTTACCCCACACAGAAAACGTAACGTGAAGGGACGTACAGCGCAACTGTATCTAAGATTCACCCAATATTATCATCTCAAAATATATTTGGTTAGTCATAATCCCTAAGGTTAAGCTATTCTGTTATGCATTACCCCTCGTAACCAGCAGATGTCCTCAGTGTGCTGGGTTTCTAGCACATCTGACCAGTGAATCCAGCTGGTGTAATATATATCTAATCAAGTTTAGCAGACGCAATCTGTGTAGTGGAATTAATAAAACTAATTATTATACTCCAGCATTTTAAATATTTACTATTTACTAGTAAGTGCAGGACACTGTAATTGTAGCACTCCTCAGCCAATAGACTAAAAACCATCATAAAGTTCTGCAGCAAGTCTCAAAATACTGAAAAGTTCAGTATACAGGCTGACATTAAGGGCCAGCACAGTATTGCTACTCACTATTAATATTACTGTCATACTATCAGCTGTCTGAATTATTTTTGGTTAGTTTATTCTTTTTTTGGGGGGCTTTACCCCCTCGTAACCAGCAGATGTCCTCAGTGTGCTGCATTTCCAGCGCATTTGACCAGTGAATCCAGCTCGTGTTATATATATCTAATAAAGTTTAACAGTCGCAGTCAGTGTAATGGAATTAACAAAACTAGTTATTCTTCTCCAGCATTTTTTATATTCTTTTACTAGTAAGTGGAGGACACTATAGTTGTAGCACTCTTCATCTAAAAGACTAAAAAAGTTCTGCAGCAAGTCACAGTGAATAATATTGTCATACTATCAGCTATTGTTGGAGTTTCTGCTCTTATTTCAGGCATTTACCCTTTGCAACCAGCAGATGTCCTCAGTGTGCTGCATTTCTAGCGCATCTGACCAGTGAATCCAGCTCGTGTTATATATCCAATCACGTTTAGCAGTCGCAATCTGTGTAGTGGAATTAATAAAACTAAATATTCTTCTCCAGGATTTTTTATATTCTTTTACTAGTAAGTGCAGGACACTGTAATTGTAGCACTCCTCAGCCAATAGACTAAAAACCATCATAAAGTTCTGCAGCAAGTTACTGTTAATAATATTGTCAAACTATCAGCTATTTTTGGACAGTTTCTGCTCTTATTTTAGGCATTTACCCCTGGCAACCAGCAGATGTCCTCAGTGTGCTGCGTTTCTTGCACATCTGACCAGTGAATCCAGCTTGTGTAATATATCCAATCAAATTTTGCAATCGCAGTCGGTGTAGTGGAATTAAAATAATTACTTTTTAAAAATTATTTAACTCCACTAGTTTATTTTTCTCCAGCATTTTCAAAGAAGGAAATGCAAATATATCGAAACTATACTGGTGGATTTTTATACTTCGGTTTGCTCGCCTGGTTTTACAATGCTTCCGTGTAAATTGGTCTCATTTCCTCTCATGGTGCAACTGATTATTTTCAAGATAGTCAATAATCTATCGATCTATAAATAATCTTTGAAAAGAGCAAGCATTAAGCTTATCCAACTTTAAATTGCGCAACCTCTTTATATTTCTATGGGTTCTGACAGTTTTACTGAATGTTATTTGGCAAAATCATTCTGAAAATGTCTCCGATCTTATAGTTTCTGTACATGTTTATCGTTATAGCTGTGGTCTGCTGTTGCTTTGCATTCAGAGTGACTATTATAACTCTATCGTTCTCATGGTTGGACTCCCTCTCGGTGTAAAAGGAACGTTTACCAGCAAGTTCATTGAGCGTTTTACATCGTGAAAAGGTCTCAAAGGTCATCTATATGCTCTTTTATTGATATTTTGCTTTCAGGAAAGCTTTAGAAAAGAAGACCTTGACCATTTCTGCTCACCTAAAGTACTGTATGTCCGAAGCCTGGCCTGTAAGCATGAATAACACCACAATAAACAGAGCTAATTGAGCTCATCGCATGTTAGCATTTAACCATTCGTAAGTTTTCAACTGATTTAATTCATTGCAGATGCTGTATTTATCCTGTGCATGTACAGCAAGTGCATTTAAATCTCATGGCAATCCGTAACTTTTAAGGATGATTTGTATAAATTTGTACGATCTCATTTGTATGATTTAATATTATTTGCTTATCCACCAATGAGGGTTGGATGTCTTCTTTTACAAGTCATACATTTTTCAAATGAGTTTGTACAAATTAGCAACTAAACTGATGAAAGGTACAATAGCCAAGTTTCTTCATTATATACACTCACCGGCCACTTTATTAGGTACACCTGTCCAACTGCTCTTTAACGTAAAATTCTAATCAGCCAATCACATGGCAGCAACTCAATGCATTTAGGCATGTAGACATGGTCGAGACGATCTGCTGCAGTTCAAACTGAACATCAGAATGGGGAAGAAAGGTGATTTAAGTGACTTTGATTGTGACATGGTTGTTGGTGCCAGACGGGCTGCTCTGAGTATTTCAGAAACTGATGATCTACTGGGATTTTCACGCACAACCATCTCTAGGGTTAACAGAGAATGGTCCGGCAAAGAGGAAATATTGAGTGAGCGGCAGTTCTGTGGGTGCAAACGCCTTGTTGATGCCGGAGGTCAGAGGAGAATGGCCAGACTGGTTCCAGCTGATAGAAAGGCAACAGTAACTCAAATAAGCACTCGCTACAACCGAGCTCTGCAGAAGAACACACAACACGTCCAACCTTGAGGCGGATGGGCTACAGCAGCAGAAGAGCACACCGGGTGCCGCTCCTGTCAGCTAAGAACAGGAAACTGAGGCTACAATTCACACAGACTCACCAAAACTGGACAATAGAAGATTGGAGAAACGTTGCTGCTCTGATGAGTCTCCATTTCTGCTGACACATTCGGATGGTCGGGTCAGAATTTGGCCTCAACAACATGAAAGCATGGATCCATCCTGCCTTGTGTCAACGGTTCAGGCTGGTTGTGGTGGTGTAATGGTGTGGAGGAGATTTTCAAGGCACACTTTGGGTCCATTAGTACCAATTGAGCATGGTGTCAACGCCACAGCCTAAATGAGTATTGTTGCTGACCTTGTCCATCTCTTTATGAGCACAGCATCCTCTGATGGCTCCATCCAGCAGGATAACGCATCATGTCATAAAGCTCAATCATCTCAGACTGGTTTCTTGAACATAACAATGAGTTCACAGTACTCAAATGGCCTCCACAGTCACCAGAGCTCAATCCAATAGAGCACCTTCGGTGATGTGGTGGGCATCATGGATGTGCAGCTGACAAATCTGCAGCAACTGTGTGATGCTATCATGTCAATATGGAGCAAAATCTCTGAGGAATATTTCCAGTAGCCTGTTGAATCTACGCCACGAAGGATTAAGGCGGTTCTGAAGGCAACCGGTTACTAGTAAGGTGTACCTAATAAAGTGGCCGACGAGTGTATAATAATAAAACAAGGCTTTGTTAAAGAACTGGACTGAACTTATAGTGAAACACAGCATATGTGCTGCATAAATGCAGACAGCAGACAGATGTTGCCGCTTTTCTCATTAGCGCAAAACAGGATTTAATATTCCTTGAAATGATTAAAAACCCAGAGGGAAGCGCGACACACGCCGTATAATACAAACACAGTTTATGGGTTTAATCTCATTTAACTCACAAGCGTCTTCATTCACATCTAAAACTCAACCAAACAAACACGCTTTAAAAGGTGAAAGTTGAGTCTGGCTCGTGTGACTTTTCGTTTCCATTAACCCGACGGACGTTCGATTGGCTCTCAGTGTGAAACGTTCACATTTACCCACAATTCATTGAGCTTTTTTGCATTGTGAATGTCCTGAAAGGGTCTCAAAGGTTATCTATATGCTCTTTTATTGATATATTTCCATCAGCAAAGCTTTTAAGAAAACAACCTTGACCCTTTCTGCTCAGTACTGTGTGTCCAAAGTTTAATTAAATGCAGTATACATGTGAATAAACACATTCAGCAGCATGAAGAAAGCGCTGTGGTTTACCTTCTTCTGCAGGAGGCAGTGGAAAACGAAGATGAACATCCCTTGTAGCGTGTTGAAGATGCTGAAGAGATACGCCATGATCACCGAGGAGTCGTTCAGGAACAGCAAGCCGAAAGACCACGTCAGACAAAGCAGACAGAGCAGCGCAAAAGCACCGAACACCCAGGAGCTGAAAAATCACAGGATTTTGATTATTAAAGAGGAGCTATTATGCAGGAATCACTATTATATGAAGTTTAAACACAGCAGAGTGTGAATATATTGCGCTTCTAATGATGAAGATTGATTAATTATATTGTTTATAATCAGACTTGATAGAAACAGTCTGCACAAACACTTTGATTGACATTCTCCCTTTGTATGATGTCACAAGAGGAGGAAAGCCCCGCCCACTAGTGATTATCTATCTCGTATTAGCATAGGATATTAGTCCTGTTGTTTCAATCTGCCTCTATGCTGGCAAACAGGCATCTGTAGCTCCGCCCTCTTCTGAAAATCTCATTTGAACTTAAAGTGACAGTCACCAAAACACCACAATTATGATACAAGTCTAAAAGGGGCCGTTTTAGAGAGTTAGAAAACATTATTTGCAAGCTATTTTGTAAATCATCAGAGACTTATTTTACATCTTGTAAAATAAAGGGACTTAATAGGTCTCCTTTAAAGCATTTGATAGCCTGCTGTGGACTACTTTATCCACACTATACCTATTGATCTGTGACATATTGATTTGAAAGTGATTTGGGGAGAGTCCACTATTATTCATATTCTTAAAAAGCATGTTAATACAAGCTAATGAAGCCAGATCAGTCTCAAAAATAATACATTCACAAAATAAACTTGTTACGCACACATCACAATTCACATTTACAAAATCCAAATTGTATATTCAAAACATAAATACACCATTTAATACACGATGCGTGAATTCACAAGTAAAAATCCTAAATATTTTCGCCAAATGAATTGCGCTTTGAATTTGTGATTTGCACTTCGTAAATGTGAATTGTGTTGTGGATGTATGGATTATATTTTGTAAATGTATTTGTGGCGAGGGGGCGGGGCCTAGAGCCGTGGGAACGGAATGAGGCCGCCGCGAAAGTGGAGACACCTGTGGCGCACACCGGCCTCGAATCCCACGGAAGGTGCTCTGGACTATAAGAGGAGGAACGATGGCAGAGGAGGCCGAGAGAGGACGGGCCCGGACATATTGTTTTACTTTTGTTCTCAGTTTGACGGCAGTCTCCATGAGGAGCTGCCGTCTGTTTGTTTTGGTAAAGATGGCAGTCTCCGTTCTCCGCCTCCTTCTTCCCGGCGGCCTATGGGCCGTAATCTTCATTACAGTATTATTTATGAGACTGATCAGACTCCATACAAACTTTGTTAAAGGAAAACCCCACTTATAAAAGAAACAAAACAAAACTATTTATAAAACAGGCTTGAAATTTACCCTTTTTGAATCCATTGACATGATCTCTGGGTCTGGTGGGAGCACTTTTAGCTTAGCTTAGCTTAGATCATTAAATCGGATTAGACCATTAGCATCTCACTCAAAAATGACCAAAAGGTTTCAATAATTTTCTTATTTAAAGCTTGAATCTTCTCTAGTTACATTAGACAGATGGGGAATTAGTATTTTATTTTCTTATTATAAGATTCTAACTGTTTTTTTTAACATTGTTCTTCATCCTTTGTGTTCGACAGAAGTAAGAAAAGCAAGTAGGCTTGTTACACTTGAAGGTAAATGAGTAAATGCTGACATAACATTCATCTTTACACTCATTTTTACACTCATTTTTACTCATTTAGTTTGTCTCTACACCTTGCACTGGTTAAAAAGAGAAGAGCTAAAAAATCAACTCAATTCAATTCAATTCAATTTTAAAAGGTGCACATTACTGCATTACAACCCAAATCAGAAAACTTAAGGTAATTAGTCAACACAACTTTATTAGTTACTAATTACTTTAACTTATTAACTAGTAACTAATAGATATTAACAGGTAAAGCTATTATATACACTCACCGGCCACTTTATTAGGTACACCAATCCAACTGCATGTTAACGCAAACTTCTAATCAGCCAATCACATGGCAGCAACTCTATGCATTTAGGCATGTTGGCATGCTAAACTGAGCATCAGAATGGGGTAGAAAGGGCATTTAAGTGACTGAACGAGGCATGTTGGTTGGTGCCATTTCAGACTGGTTTCCTGAACATAACAATAAGTTCACTGTACTCAAATGGCCTCCAAAGTCACCAGATGTCAATCCAATAGAGCACCTTTGGGATGTAGTGGAACAGGAGATTAGCATCATATGTAAATCTGCAGCAACTGTGTGATGCTATCATGTCAATATGGAGAAAAATCTCGGAGGATTATTTCCAGTAGCTTGTTAAATCCATGCCATGAAGGATCAAGACAGCTCTGAAGGCAACCCGGTGCTAGTAAGGTGTACCTAATAAAGTGGCCGGTTAGTGTATAAGCATAGTTAACCTGCACTTATATAGCATATAGGTGATGTCCATATGAACATGTTTAATGAAGTCTATTAAGTGTATGTTAAGTTATTAATTTGTGTCCTCTCCGTCAGTGAGTTATTTAATTAACTGGCTATCTCGTTCAATTGCTCACTTCAATTCACAAACGAATCATTTAAGCCAAATGAACTGCTTGCAAATAGAAGGCAACAAATTAAGAAAGCAGAAGTTTCCTGCACATTTCATAAAAAAACTTGAGCCCATTCATAAACTCAGACCACCCATATAAAGCAGAGTATAAGACGGCGGTAAATCACTGGACTCTTTCCCATTGGAGATTCCAACAGCTATTTCATCGGATCAAATGTCTTAAACGGATGATCCCCTCAAGCGGACAGCACAAGGGCAGATTTCTCCGTCTCCTGCGTCCCCTGATGTACTTTTAAACGTAATTATGACTTTGGGTCCAATAAAACATCTTGCTTATCATACCATTGTAGATCCCATCTGGAAATGTGCATGGGACAGCGTTTATTAGAGAGTCAGACTTCAATATCACATTGCAGGAAGAAAAAGTCAATGCATTATTACAGTTATTCCATCCCCAATACGTACATTTTTGTGAAACGCAAAATACATTGCTCCGGGTACGTTTGATTGCACGCTTCTGATGACAAATCCACTAGAGGGCGCTGTTTACATGTTTGCAAATCAGAAATGCGTTACTTAGGATTTGTTTTGTTTAACGTTTCAGATGCACGTCCCGTTCCTGTAGATGTCTTGTAGAGGCAGAGCTTGTCGTACAGATCAGCTAGAGCAGGAGCCTCATGTATTAACGCTGCTTACACACAAAAACTTGGCGTACGCCAGGTTTCACACTCACGTTTGGATTTACTAACGATGAAATTAACGTGAGAATGTACGTGTATTTGCTGTGTGTGTTTGGTTTATTTCCATTGGCGACTCCTAGAGGTAATTATGTAAATCGCACACTTTAAAGTATCGCACCAACACATGTGAAAAGCATTGCTGTTCATTTATAATTGGTAAAATGGGTTAATTGGCAATATATATATATATATATATATATATATATACACACACACACACACACACACACACACACACACACACACACACACATATATATATATATATATATATATATATATATATATATATATATACATACATACATACATACATATATATATATATATATATATATATATATATATATATATATATATATATATATATATATATATATATATACATATATACACATATATACATATACACACACATATATATATATCAGCTATAGCAGGAGATCAGCTAGTGTGGTATGGCAGGGCAAAGATGTGCTCTTTTTGTCACAATAATAAAGATTTAGGGAAAGATCCAAACGCAAGTGAAGAGTTTATTTGACACAGTCAAAAATAAGTAGATGTGTGAGTAAAGGAACACAGGGCAGGAAACAGGTGAACGGGATCCAACAGGTACTCCTCACAGTCCTGAGCAATGACAGACACACATGAGCAAACACAAAGAACTGACAAGGAAACATAGAAGCGTCGCCTAGATATAGGCGTGAAAATGAGCCTCAGCTGGCAAGTTAATCAAAACAGCTGAGTACCGTCATAGCACGTGACCAAAACAGATACACGAGGACAACCAAAACAAAACAAACCCATGTGACCAAACATACACTCCGGAGAGCGGACAAACCTGCAACCGTGACACTTTCTGTCTGAAAAGGCTGTTATACTGATGCTGATTCAGGTTAATGGATCGGATGAAATTAACAGTTTGCAATTGCGCCATGCAGTGGACACAATTGGAACTGCAGTTTCTTTTATTGTAAAACTGCATCTTATATTTATACTTTACAAAATCATCTCGCAGGCCAGATTAAACAATTTCTGAACTTTTGACACCCCTGAGCTAAACCCTTCGGTAAACCCAACCGATAGTGTTTTCAGAAGCGGACCAAAGAGGAAAAAGCACTGCAAGCACATAGTTTACCTTGATTTTACATTACTTTTATCTATTTTGTGGAAGCGTGCTTCACCAGACTCAAACCTGAGAGCTCTGCAGTATAAACCAAAAAATTGCACCAAAATAATCCTGTAATTGTCAATAACATGTCAGTGTAAATATGATTAGTGTGAAATGGAGTAAAAGTTAATGTCGTCATTCTGCCCCCTAGTGTTCACTTCACCTCAAACTCTAGTCAAACATATGTTTAAGTACATTTATGTTCATAAAAACATAGACTGACGCACATATTTCCACAAAACTACTCCCATAAACCTCAATTACTGCAGTATTTACACTTCAAGCTCCAGATGCGGAGAGCGGCTGAGTTTGCAAGAGCCACACACTGTTATTGTTATCATTTGCAAGTCTTGCCAACATGAATAAAGCAATCGTGATAAGTCAAGACAACAAAACCGACTCTAAACATGCAAGAGAAAATGTCAGGAGATGAAACTGTGCAGAAATCAGGCCCGGTGATGGTGTGTGACGGATCTTACCGTATGCTCTCCAGGCGGCTGGAGTCGGGTTTCATAGACATTGAGTGCTTCACCATCTTGTACATCGTCACCACCAGAAAGATGAGATTGAGCTGTCGGAAGAGATAACACGTGTTGAGGAGACCACACGGCTTTCACACAGCTTTCTTGGAAATCATTCAGACGGCATGTGTGTCAAACAAAGTTATTTTAGTAATGGAAACTAAAACTGAAGAGTCTCTTCACATTTCTAGGATTCTCCGCAGAAGAAGTCGTCATAGTTGCGTAAACTTAGAGCGCAGTGAATGGGAGAGAATGACCAATGCATATGTACAATCCCATTGGCTCAATTAATAAAAGGAAAAGTCAACGATGGTGTTATCAAGACTTTTAGAAAAAGAAAAAAATGAGCAAGACGCAATAACGGCAGCCAGAAGAGAGAATAACATCAAATTTACTGTCCCACCTCTATATATATATATATACAAACATATATATACATATATATACATACATATATATACAAATATATACATACATACATATATATATATATATATATATATATACATACACACACACATAAATATATATATATATATATATATATATATATATATATATATATATATATATATATATATATATACACACACACACACACACACACACATACAAGCTGCTTTTATTTTACTTTTTTCACAATTAATTCTTTGACATCACTAAGACTTTAATATTAGGTTAGATGTAGGTTGTGATGTCAGGTGACAACATTTTAACATCTAGCCAGCATCTAAGGACAACTTTATTTTAATGTCCAATAACGACGTCAAATGACATCGATATTTGGTTGTGTTGGAGAGTGACTAATATCCAACGTCGAGCCTAAATTTATTCGTCAGGTATGGCAACCAAAAATCCAACAACCGCTTACCGTCCACACAATGTCAATCTGTAACATCACTAGACACTGATATTTGGATGACGTTGATATTTCGTTGATTTTAGGGGTTGGAAAGTGACCAATTTCTAATGTTGAGCCAATATCTTAAACCAACGTCATATTGACGTCTAATACTGACATTTATTCTGCAGTTATGGCAACCAAAATCCAACGTCTGATAGACGTTATAGTGGTAAAGTCAAGCTGTACCATCATTAGACGTTGCTGTTTGGTTGTTTTTGAGTTGAACGTTGGACATTGACGTCGGCCGGACGTTGAGTTCTGACATCAACCCGATTTTTATTTCCAAACAAAATTCAACGTTCCCACGATGTTGGGGTACAACATCAATCTAACATCCTGTTGACGTCCTGCCTGCTGGGTATTGGCAAAACCCAAGAATGGATGTACTCCTCTTTTTTTCTTATAAACTGTAATGAGAGGGCATTATTAATAGCTACCAGCAATATTACATTAGCATTAAAGTCTTATCTTGATAATGGAAGCAGGACGTGACTCGAGCCACAACAGGAGTCTGTGAGAATGTTCATTTTCCCTCAAAAACACAAACTATCACCCGGAAAATACAGTGCTCCCATTTGTTCCTGATTTTTGATCCTTAAGATTATTGAAGACAAACTGCGAGCAGGCGCCTTCTCAGACTAGTGCAAGTCATAACTCTGGCTCTGGAAATGTGGCTTTCTGGCAGGAGTGTGTGTTTTTATAAACCGCCCTGAACATGGGAATGTAATTCAGGCTGACCAGAGAAGACCTCTTAAAGAAACACACTTCAGGGATCCAAAAAATGAAGCCCGAAAAAAACAGCATCGGCTATTTTAAAGATGTGTGACAGGAATAGAGGGAGACGTGTTAAAAGACTGCAGTTTGTTATATAAGGCGATGGGAATAATTTATCTGGATTTATTGTTTCGCATTTGAGTAAAAATAGATTATTCTGATTACATTTCCCTCATTCATTTATCTTCCTTCGTCTTAGCCTCTTTATTCATCAGGGGTCGCCACAGTGGAATGAACCACCAACTACTCCAGCATATGTTTTGCACAGCAAATGACCTTCCAGCTGCAACCCAGTACTGGGAAACACCCATACACACTCATTCACAAACACACATATACACCACGGCCAATTTAGTTGATCAATTCCCCTATAGAGCATGTGTTTGGACTGTGTGGAAACCAGAGGGAACCCACGCCAACACAGGGAGAACATGCAAACTCCACACAGAAACGCCAACTGACCCAGCCAAACTTGAACCAGCGACCTTCTTGCTGTAAGGTCAAAGTGCTAACCACTGAGCTACATTTTCTTAAAATAAATAAAAATAAAAGGCAAATGAGTAAATGAAAAGTGTTGTAATTTTGCACAAAATAGCAAAATACATGACATTTGCAGATATTTATATATTTTTTGAGCACTTTAGAAATGAGATCAATATAATTCACACAATAAAACTGTCAATTTTACAAATGTGCAACAGTAATTCCTTCTAAAAACTGATTTATTTGATCTTTGCCATGTTGACAGCACATAATATTAGACTAGATATTCTTCAGGACACTAGTGTTCAGCTTAAAGTGACATTTAAAGGCTTCACTAGGGTAATTAGGGTAAAGTTAGGGTAATTAGGCAAGTCATTGTATAACAGTGG